GTCTTATAGCTGTCGCTTATACACATCTAGATGTGTATAAGAGACAGACCATATATAGGCACATCATGACTATATATGGGCATATAACAGTTTTTTGTTAAATGAAATTTGATAGTCTGCACTGAGCCTTTGATATTATCAACCACAAATCTATGTTATCTCTGCACCTGCTCATTTTATCACTGCATTATCACTTGTTATCACTACACCAGTGATAACAAGTGATATGCAGTGATGTTATCACTGCATTATCACTTGCATTTCACTACATATGTGGCATTGATTATGGTTGTGATTAAGCTTTGTCTACGCTAACAAATTTTATGTGACAAAAAAAATGTGATGTGCCCATATATGGGTACGATGACGTCATATCTTATATTATCAAATTGTATCAAAAAAATGTTGAACGTGTTCAACTCTATGTTCCATCACATTTTATGTGACCCTTTTTTTTAGATGAAATTTGATAGTGTAGACAAAGCTTTACATTTGTTATGGGCATGACCTAACTTCCTGAGTCCCACGTTGGAAGAAATTTCTTCTGGGACATTTGGTTAAAATGAGCTTTCTTGGCATAATTAATGTGATGATGGTTACACATCAGCACTCACTTCTGCGAGACAATTGATATTAAAGTAGTAAGGATATGCAAATATCATGAATTTGCGGGAGATGGGTTGTTTTCCTTGAGATTCTTGCTTGCCTGGGGGAATGCAGTAGGCTGTCCCAATTTCTGGGAGACTTCCGCAACGTCCGGGAGACTGAGACTCCTGTCACTTTACTTTTATATCACATATCTAATTTTATAAATAATTGTTTAAATAGCAAAATATAGTTTTAGTTAATTTCATATTTGTTTCTCAAACAAATTTACAATTATTGTCTATCTCTATCTATCATTTTAGACAAATCAAACAGAAAAGTAGCTTTGAAAATAAAGTTAGAAAATATATCAAGCTAGGAGAATTATCAGAGCCACTAACCTGCCTAAATTTAGCAGAATACTAATATGATATAGAATATCTTGTTTAACATTATATTATGTTAATATATTTTTTGAGTGGACAAATACTTGAAGAAAATATAGTATCATGTAACATTCGCTTATTTCTAGATTTTCAGTTGGCAACTGAAATCCTTAAAGTATTTTAAGTACTGGAAAAATTTTATCTGGTTATCTTGATATAATACTACCACTTAAATTGCTATTTCTTATTGGTTGATCCAATGAAAATTAAATAGTATTTTAACACCTCTTTGCCAGTTCTGCCTACAACAGATTGACATTTATGGCTAACTCCTTTCTGAAGGTACTTGCCACCAACTAAAAATTGTTTCCAAATTCCTCATTCATCCTTGTGGAGGGGCGTGTGTGCCCCCCCCCCATCCCCTAGATACACCACTGCTCGGTGTTCACTTCCTCATCTCATTATTCTTCACTTTGTCCATACTGTATCATTAAGTTAATAATTAACTGTCATTAATAATAAAATTCTTCCACACTCTCTATTAGTCAATTCATTTGTAATCTTGTTTTTAATTTGTTACCAATAAACTGCCACAACCAACCCTAGCCATTTAACCTCACTACCTGAAAATTGAATCTTGTTAATGTTATATACATGTTGTTTTATGATGTAGGCCCATAGAGATATAATATCTCCATGGCAGGCCTGAGCCTATTGTTTGTTGTATGTGAATGTAGCAGATTGTGGAATCAAGGTGGCTGATGCAGCAAATTTAAAAAAATTAAAATTATATAATTATGCAAATATTGTGTATTGTTCGCAATGTTATTCAATGTTTACTGTATTATTGGGTAGTTAGGTCTATATTTTGCAAATACTACAGCCTAAACTTATTTACCTACACTCGTCAGTTTCATAACTACAATACACACACAGCACACATTCATGTTCACAAGAAATCTTCATGTTTCTGTAACTTTCTTATGGACTTTTCCAACAAGCTCTGCCCCTTAGATACGGTTGCTAAGGTCCCACTTTACAACAGCTGTTCTGATTGGTCAGTTGTTAAGTTTGATTGACAGTCCGGAATCTATTCTACGTTATTGTAAAAGATTTTTGTATCACTGTTGAACACGTCCATGCAGAGGGTTTTTTTTTGTTTTTTTTTAACATGCACAAGTTCTTGTTATTACAGGTTTATTACGTCACTCAGGCGCGTGTCACCACACAGATCCACATTGTTATCACTACGCAGGTTCATTTTATCACCGCACTCAGTTTCTTGTATCACTAGATTAAATTCAATGTACAAGCTGATGATATCACAAGCCCATTTAACTTTTGTGAACGTGGTTGGGTTGTATACAATGTATAGAAAATGACGGTAACACAAAGTTCACAACATAAATTATTCAAAAACAATTATAAATACATAATATATATTGTACTGGTACGTATACTACACACACAAAAAAACAAACAAACAAACAAACAAAAACAAGTTGAATATTAATTATACTAAACTGTGTTTACGTTATTATTGTTCAGTTCATTGGACTGGAAAGTCCATGTAAACAAGTCCAATTCCACATTTACAGCCCCGTAACCATGCCCCTATTAATTTGTTGGCCCCTTGCTCAAATCAAAGATAGGCCTATGTAAATAATTAAAACTGAAAGCAAAAATTATTTTTTCATAATAAGAAAAACAGTATTGGTGGAAAATATGGTTTATATTTTTATAACAACAAAAAAATTATTGGGAAAAAATACAGTCAAGATTGAACACATATCATAATGGTATCATCCAAAGATTTGTAAGAGTATAATCTGTAAGAAAATTATGAGTGTTCAGGGGCGGATCCAGAGATGTCCAAAAGGGGGGGGGGGGGCCGAAATGATCGAGACAACAATGTCCTACGGGATCCGGGGGCATGCCCCGCGAAATTTGTGTGTTCTAGACGCCCGAAAATAACATTTGAAGCGTTCTGGGCTATCATTTTTTTCTTTTTCTTTCTTTTTTCTTTCTTTTTTCTTTTTTTTTACTTCCCAAAAGGGTGGACCGGGGCCGGGCCGCGCCCCCCCCCCCCTAAATCCTCCCCTGGTGTTTCCCTGTTGGTATTTGCTTAAATGATACCTCGGCTAGATACATATTCACTTTAATGAGTGATTATTATTCTGGCCCTGGCCCCAACCTCTAGACTAGGAAATAAGGAATGTTGTCCGAGGAGAGTTTGTACTTCAAGGAGGCACAGTCTTATAGCAAACATTAAAAATAGCAGAAGATAGAGCAGCTTCCCAATATAGTGAAACATCTGTTCAAAAGGCATTGTGGGTACACGGAGAGCAACTTTACTGCAACCGCGCGGCGGCGCTATATAAAAATAATAAAGGCGCTGCTCTTGTTCGCTTGTTTCCTTTAGTTTCTCCACTTAGTAAAATGTTCAAGTTTTACTGCAACCACAGGAGGGCGAATGTTCCATCAATTTTACGAGGAGCAGCTCATTCTTCTGCTATATAGTTCTTTGCTTACCTAAATAGTTACTGCTCTCTATGATATTCCGAGATGTTTTAATCTATAGATATTTCATGAATATTTGCTGTATCTAGATAAACCATATTCCAATCCTCAAGATGTGGCCGGGACAATCTCAAATTCGTGCCAATACATTCCTGAAAGAATCTAGATGTTTTTTGGAGAATTAAAAAAATAAACTACTTTTATACGCTGTCCCAACCTTGGAATCTGAAGTGGGTGTTGACTCCTTGAGACTCCTACTTTCCCATACTTTTTCACAATTTTGCAAAAAAAGAAAATTTTTTTTTAAATAAAAAATAAAAAATAAATATTTAATCTGCTTAAAATTTATTTCAAAAAAAGTCAAATTAAGACATAGAAATTTTTAACAGTGCTATATCAGGCACCCCTGAATTTTGTCCATCTCACCAGCTTCAACCATTAATATTTTTTGTCTGAGAATGTTATTTCCGGCATTTAAAGCTGCATCCATCCTTAATTATTTTCGCCTCACCCCCAGACATGGTGGGCTGAGGCTGGTACTCACCTCTCTCTTATTTACTTACTTGATTCTTGATGCTTGATAGTTAGGCCCTCTTGTCCAGTGGAAGGGCCCTCAACTTCTCTTTAAAGTATATAGTTACTCTTTGTGCAAAAACGACTTCTGGAAGTTGGTTCCATTGGTTTGTAACTCTATTACTGAAGAATTGTTTGGCCACGTCTGTTCGCATCTTCTCTTTGTATAATTTTTTAGAATGACCCCTTATGCCTCTTTTGGGTGACTTCTGAAAAGACTTTCGACCGTATAGGCATGTAACAATGTGTTAGATGCTTATTTATAGGTCTCGATTAAATCGGTCTCTTTTCTTCTTTCCACCAAGGAACGGATTTTTCAGAAGACAGAGTTTCAAGTAATGTGTTTCTGCACTCTCTCTAAACGGTTAATTAATATTTTTTTACTATTGGGTTCCAGATGACTGAACCATACTCCAAAATAGGGCGAATAATCGATTTATAGTAAGATTTTCTTCATTAAATTGGGAAAATCATCGTTTTATCGAATGCACAAGAAGTTACCGATATTTGATGAACGACATAATGTGAAATTAAGACAATATTAGAATAAATATTTTGAGTCTCTGAGAATGCAATTTTATTTTTTTTACATCATTGTTTTTTGGTGCGTGCAGACTTTCTTGTACTGTATTTGCCATTTTCTTTAAAATCTGAGACATTTTGAAAGGCATAATTTTTTAAAGAGTGCTTTTTTAATTATCATTATCATCATTATCTTTTATCTTTAATATTATTATTATTATTATTATTATTATTATTATTATTATTATTATTATTATTATTATTATTATTATTATTAAAACGAAACAGTGACCGTCTCTGGCAAAACCCTCCGTTTGTAGGAAAAACAGAATTAAGGTTTGGGTGTTTTTAGATTCTGCAAGTAGTTTTTAAAATCATTATTTGATGGAAATTAGCTAAGTATTAGCAAAGTTATGAATATTTATTTCTTTAGATATCAGCCATGTAGGTTTTAAGAAAACAGCTTCCACGATTCCAAAGGTTTATTAAGAATGTTTTGTATTTTAAATATAATTTTAATATAATTTTCAGTTAGATTAAGTGATTGATATTTTACAGAAATTTTCTTAATATATCTTATTTCTAAATTATGTATGCAAACACATGAAAATGTTCAAAATTCTGATTCTCGAACGTTTTGGGTGCTTGTGGGAAATTGTTAAAAAATGCGACAAACGGAGGGTTTGCCTTGGTCTGACACCGGACAAAAGTTGTCCGGTGTAATCTGAGATGGCTACGTCATATCAGCATGCGATTTGATTAGCTGAGACTGGAAGGCTAGGCAACTTGGATGGATGCCACCATTTACATCCATGGCTATTTATGTACTTCAAGAGTATTTTGTAAGTTGGGGTCTTTTTTCTTCTAATATCTTTAATATGTACAACAGATAGTATATCATTTACATTTTTGTAAGCTATTGAAAGTGGTTATGATAATTAAGCCTAGAAAGTGGCCTTGTTCGTCTACTTTTATACTAGTGTACGCGTAGGCCTAGGCCTAGGCATATTGCTCTAGCCTGTGCATTTGTGTGAGGTGTCGTGTCCATGGTTGACACGTGGTCTAGCATAGCTTAGTTGCGTATGGAGGGCTTAGCGCCTGGACCAGGGTGGGCCTAGCTTAAGCTCCCTTTTTTTGTGAGTGTCTTTTATCTTTATCTTTAACCATGGTTTAAGGTATTTAAATGGATGCTACTTATGTTGGTCATTGTCGCATTTATTAAGTGAAGGTGGAATGAGCCAAGTCTGATATTTGCCAAAAAATGTGTTACATAATACTTGAATGACCCCCAATATTATGGCACCTCTGAATATCCGTAAGCAATGGACAAAATTGGTTTAGACAACATGGAACTTTAGACAATCCATTTCATTTCGAATTGCAGAATGCTGAATAGGCCTAGGCTTACATTCTGACCTGTGGTGGCGCTATCAGGTGTGGGGGTGGGGTAAGGTGGGGGAGGGCCAGGGAGAATGCATTTTCTTCTCCGTTGGATAGGCCTGGACCCCCTGTTGTCCGTCGCACGACTAGGTCGTCGGATCAAAAATTAAAAAAATAAATTTGCCTGTCCAAATAATGTTTATTTGACTGCCAATCCCTAATAATTGTGGTCTAAAAGCACATTTAGGACGATAATAATCCATAAAATTAAAAACTCTCCCCGTGTATTGAGTTTACAAATACTAGTACTTTGAAAAACATTTTCTTTAAATGAACATAAATTATAGCAAAATAAATGCGAATCGCTTTCCGGAATAGTAAGTAATATGTGTTTGGCTGGGCAGGGATTATCAGTAAGGGGATAACGACCAAATTGAGAGGGTGCTGGGTAGGGTGGGGAAAGTAACTGGTTGATGTGTGCAGACTCTTGACTCATTCTATCACAAAAAGCTTGCAAATTTGTTTCAGGCTATAATTGTAGGACACAAAACATCTGCTCGTCTGCCGACATTGTTGTAGGCACCGTTATTGTTAAAAGTAGTAGTATGAGGACAGTGAATAGCATATGCACCGTTACAGCTGACATTTTTTATTCCTTGTTTTGAGAACTTTTTTTTTTGAAGATCATCAGAGGAGGTCAGAAAAATAATAAAATTAAAATTTTGTTTTCTTATTTAGCAAATAGTTTTGCCAAAAACATCCAGACGGAGGAGAAAATAAAAATAAAATTTTATTGGTGAATGTAAACAGTGTAGAAATTAAATTTATATAAATTTATGTTGTCTTTGGCGATTTCAAGGCAGCAGAGGGCGTAATAACAATAAAGAAAAACTTTTTATTTTTTTCTGAAATTTCAATTTTCTTGTGGCAACGGGTACGCTACTGTAATTGACCAAAAATAAATATTTTTGTTTTTTTTTCGAAATCATTATTTGTGGGTTGTGGGTTCGCTAAACAAAGCCGGTAGCCTTGAGCATTATAATTTCCAGTATTTTGGACAATAAAGAAGTCTGTATCTATAGACTCAAAGGTACGCCACTGTGAGTACTGGACACTTTGCAGGTCTAGATATGCAGCAGGGCCATTTAGGGCCTTATAACTTAGGTGTAGGTCTGCCTTTATACCATGTTGTTTTGAGTTTAATATTTTTTGTGCATTTTTAGTAAGATGAATCCGAAGCTGTAAAAATAAGCAAAATGAAAAGAGCTAAAATTCCTGACGTGTTCAAAACTAGAAAGAAACCAAAGATTCAGCAGCAAACCTCTGAGGACTGGGGAGAAGAAGATTCAGGTATGATTACGGTTGATTGACACTGGCAGGGCTGGTGAGAAAAGGTTATGCTTAGGCCTAGTTTGTACAACTCTTGAATAGACATCAGCTAGTCAACCCCTTTTTTCAGTCTTATAATAAAAAAAGGTAAAGGTAGTCCCGTGTTCATTACTGAACATAGGGGAATGAGCTGTGAGCCCATTATACTAAGCCTCGGTATTGTGTGGTAGGGTGGCCATTTCCTTTCCACGCCGCTTCTTTTCCTCCCCAGTAGTAAACCACTGGGTACCCATTTATACTCCTGGGTAGAGAGAGACAAACGTAGATAAAGTGCCTTGCCCAAGGACACAAGCGACTTGCACAGTGAGAGTTCCGAACCCCTGACCTCAAGTTTGGGAGTCCAAGCCACAACCTATGCGCCAAGCACTGAAAGTGCATAAAACACACACACACATCTCCAATTTACCACAATATTATCTGAAAATATATCCATATTTAGAGTTTCCATGTTTTTGTATGCAACAATGGCAGCCAGAAGCTCATTGCTTTATTCTTGAGGGCAGCATCCAATTGAGGTCAGCCTTCATTGTAGTGGATGTTGTGCGATTGAGCTAATTTAGCCATTATTGATATATGCCCTAGAATTGAGAAAGAATTAAGACATGAAAGCTTTGGAACTATGACTTGAATTCAATAATAATGTTGCTGTGCAGATGGAAAGCATAATGATGATTAATGTGTGATTTTAATTGTTGATTTACATGTACAGTACAGTATACTGTTAAATGTCCTTTAATAGTGAAACCATTATGCACAGCTGTGCTGCTTTAAAAAAAAATGTTTTTTTGAATTAATAAAATGTGCATTGTTAAATCACACATGTTAGAACCACTTAATTACAGTAAACCATTGTGTACCCTTCCAAACCATGCTTTGTCTGCTAAAAATGCAAGACACAACAATTACTGTAATCTGCTGATTTGTTGAATTATCTATCATATTTTCAGCATTTTGCATGTGCCCTTGAGTAAGGTACTTTATTTTGATCTATTTTTATGTTGTTATCAAAAAGCCAAGTAGTGGTAGTCATTGTGTTTTTTATATTTTAGATTTTTTTTAGTAACTTTTTAATATATTATAAGTTCATCCATCTATGGCATCAATTATTCGGGTTAAATATTTTTATTACTAGGGGATTCTTTTAGTTTCTCAACCATGATGTCACCGTTTCAATCCCTCCACCGTGCATTTTGCTTGCCCTTGAGCAAGGTACTTTATCTGCATTGCATATCTCCACCCAGAAGTATAAATGGGTACCCAATGGCCTGGGACAGAAGCACTTCATATCCGCAAAGAAATGCGGTATATAAATAACCGCATTAAATAAATAAATAATTAAATAATTAAATTAAGTTAATTAAATTAGTTAAATTAATTAAATTATTTAATTTATTTAATTAATTAAATTTATTAATTAAATTGATTATTTAATTTAATTAATTCAAATAATTTAATTTAATTAATTCAATTTATGTAATTTAATTTATTAATTTAATTAAATTTAATTAATTAATTAATTTTATTAAATTTGATGAATAAATAAAATAAAATAAAATAAATAAATGATTGTTATCTTTCAATGTCTGCCTTTAGTTTCAGCAGTGCCTACAGACTGCCAGGCAGTTAATTTAATTTATTAATTAAATTGATTAATTGATTTAATTAATTCAATTTATTTAATTTAATTAATTAAATTTATTTAATTTAATTTAATTAATTAATTAAATTTAATTAATTAATTAATTAATTAATTTTATTAAATTTGATGAATAAATAAAATAAAATAAATAAGTGATGATTGTTATCTTTCAATGTCTGCCTTTAGGTTCAGCAGTGCCTACAGACTGCCAGGCAGCATTAATGTACCTCCGGTCTCTTATCAACGTAGAGGCTTTGGATAGACGGATACCGCCTATTATCATTAAGCACCAACTTTACAACGTTATCAAGAATAGAACGCATGTTGACAAGCAAGTGGTAATAGATTATGTTTAATAATACTTTTCTTTTTTTTCTAATTGAAATGATGATTATGATGCAGGGATGTAGTTATGGTTGGTGGAGGCAGGTGGGACCACTCAGCCTTGAAGTTTCTAAAGCTATGTTCATGGCTCTCCAACTACCCTTATCAACCCACTTTTACGTCCTTAAAATCTGCTCTTATTTAGTGTTTACCAATGTTATCACCCACCCTTAAAATGTCTTATCACTAAGTGTATGTGGAGGAGTCCGGTGTTTTACAGTCAAATACAAACGATAAAAGTAAGTTAAAAAGAAACAACATTTTGAACAGAAATTGTCAGTTCTAGTGGCATCACCCATTCACATTTAAAGAAACATTAAATATATATTAGTAATAATAATAATTAATACTGTAATAATAAATAAAATGTTCATATGAAGTGGTGACAAAAAATAACTACAAAGTATTTAAAAAAAAATTCTTTCCACACTTGTGTTTTATTATCTTTGCTTATTTTTCCCCTTCCCCAGAATGAGCTTAGAGACAGCAAGGAGATCAAACTGCTGAAATTGGGAACTGGTCCAGATGAGTTTAGCATCGTCTTCACCAAGGACTACGTGGAGCACGTGAACAAGCAATTACCAGATAGGCCCGTTGTTAAGAGATTCCTAAGCAGTATCGTAGAGAAAACCAACAGTGTTAGTGTTGACAAGCGGATGTTGGTAGATCATCTAGAATTTAAGGATGAAGAGATTACGTAAGAAATGATAATTTCTGGTGGTTTTTTTTTTATGTTTATTATACATACAGTTATACATCAGTATGAAAAGAACTGCATTTATCAAATTTCTAATTGACAGCAGCTTGACATGTTTGACTGTTGATGAGGGCTTAATCCTCAGGCCTTCTGGCGCTGCCAGAACAATCTCCTGCTATAAAACAACTTGCACATTGTTTCTTTCCCCTATTATTATTTTGTTCTTTCGTTCACTTTTATTTCAGATCAATCTATAGGAATTAAGCACAATGCAATGCACAATAGATAATTGTTATTATAATAGCATCCACAGGGGTCAAAGGTCGCACTAGGCGCTTTGCACTATGATGATAAACTATCTCCCACCACATATCATCCCGGTATATTTGAGTCAAGGTTTCGGTGCCAGGACATACAAGGATTGCTTGACTTAACTATTTATAAACTTAACTACTATAGCAATAAACTATCCCCTACCAGACACCATCCAGGATATAAAAGGATTGTTTGACTTGTTACAAACTACTGTATTTTATTATTTTTTCTTTTGTTATTATTGTTTTCAGGATTATAATGTAATTAGTATTGTCATGCAACATCTCTCAAAGCCTGTACACTGACTAATTTAATCAAGAATACTAATATTGTAATTGATCAAACAAGTGAACAGTGAAATTTGTTTTGTTTTATCTGTTTTTTTTAATATGGTTTTGTTTTAGAGAGTTGGTTAATGGTGGAGTTTTAAATGTACGAGATGTTGGAAGTTGGTGGATTGCCGTACCAGGAGCTGGTTACTTCATTCGCCATTTCACAAAAGGTAATCTCAATACGATGAATGTCTATCGATATTTTTTTTTTATTCTACTTTGTTACTTTAGTATCTCTAAAATGTTGAACCAAATAAAATGAATGTTAATATTAATTCTTTAATTATAGCAAATTCTTTCATTCGTTCGTTTACTTTATTATTTTTTTTCTGTTTAAAACGATCTTTATCACACAATGGGAAAGAAAGATTATGTTTTCTTTTCTACATGATATGTTGTAAAATGTATGCTATACTACTTCTGCCTATACATAAAGTTTCCATGCTATTTTAAGATTTTGCTTATAACATGTAAGGCACTCAATGGTCTTGCCCCAAAATACATCTCTAATCTCCTCCAACATAAATCTACTCCTTGCCGCCTTAGATCATCAAACAAGCACCTCCTTGAGTATAGGCAGGTGGAGACATAAAAACCTAGGTATTAACGTACATTCTCATCGAGAGATCAAAATCTCATCTCTTTCTCATTTCTGTCTCAACTTTTTTGACACACATGTAAATTGTTTATTTATTTATTTTTTTCATAAACTTACAAGCATTGTTAATAAACATTGGTAGTTAATGTGCAATCTGCAATCTAAGTAATGCGTTGTTATAGCGCCACAGAACATTGCATTATTCTGCCGTTTATATTGGTGCTATATTGGTGCTTGTTGATTATTGATTGATTGTAAATGTTTATTTGAAGATTTTGTTGTTGACTTTTTGTATTTTTCAAGGGCGAGATGCAATTCTTAGGACAATACGAAATTCCAAGTACAAGCAAATTCTTCTAAGGGTAAGTCAACTATATAAGTATGATATATATAAACTATGGTATGTTTGAATGCTTTGTATCCATTAGATTCGTGTGTGATCCTGTGTGTGATGTTAAACTATATCTAGGCAGAGCAGGCAGGTTGTCTGGGGTTAGTCAGTCCCAACTAACTTCTAAAAAATGCAGACAAGAAACCGTATCTCTGTGACTGGCGGGATGGTTGGCACAATAAAACCGAGCTGGCCCCCTCTATAGGGAGGAGAAAATTTTGCTGCTTTGCAAAGAGGTCTTGGATGGACAAAGGCTAGGCCCACCGCCTTTAATTTCTCATAATGTATAAGTTGATTATACAGATTGGCTTTCCAGAGAAACGCCTATGGCTCTCTTAGGGCTAAGGCATGCTGAACTGAACTTTGATTATTTTAACAAAGATTTTTTCGCTCAAACTGATACCGTAGTCCCACCCCCATTGAACTCAAAATTGGGCCAAGTTTTTTTGGGGGGGTGGAGCTAATAAATGGAAATTTTATGTCACTGTTTGATTAATTCAAACCCAATATTTGGTGTTCTTTCTGAGAATATTTGTAAGTCATACCCCCTCCATGGATTTTGCCCAAGGAAAGGCTAATAGTGTACATAAAATTGAGTATAAACTAAAAGGTGGGGTTATACCCAAGGTTTATTAATAATACAAAAATAAGTTTAAGCTGCACGTTTTAAGTAGTGTTTCTTCTATGTTTAGCAAGTATTATTTTGGTGTTATCCAGGAATTGGAAACAAGAGATCTGAAAGCAACTAAAACACTAGGAATGCAATATCATATACAGGAGATTCTTGGAAGTGGCTCAGTGTCCAAGTAAGTTTTCTTGCACATTCCCTTGCATGTAAACTGGTGGTAGCTACTGTGTGTTCGCTAAACTGTGGAGAACCTTTGGTCACTGTTTCAATACTTTTGTCTATCCCCTCCCCCAAAACTTTCAATATTATCAAAAATGGAGAAAAAACTAAAAGTTATATTCAGATTTAAGTCTGAGAGTGCGATTTCCAGCCATCTAGAGGTGCCATAATCATAAATTTTCTTACCGCAGCCCCAATCATGGTGGAGCTACCTGGTATAGATCACCCTCTTCTGTGAAAAGACCTCCCTGGGCCCCTGCTATTTCAAATCACTGGAATCACCACTGTATTGTCTTTCAACATAATTTTATATGTCAAAAAAAATTTAAGTATTATTTAATTTTTTTTGATATAATGATTATTTTAATATTATGATATTTTTATAATTTTTATCTCTCAAAAATTAATTATGTTTTCATTTGCTTCAGGTTTGATACAACTTCTGGAACTATGGTGAGGATAGATAGCTAATACAGAATTATTGTTACAAATACCTAATAAGTTCAAAGTTAGAGTTTAGAGGGGTTCGGCGATGGGAGTCACATGACGTAACTTGGGATGTTGGATATAAACAATGGATTGTCACAGCAGTGTCCTACATGGAGATTGCTATTGCAGCCGTACCCTGTTATTGCTGTAAAAATCATCATAATTCCCAGTAAACTATACCAAATGGATTGGAAAATATACTTGAGAATTTTGCCTTAATTGTTTGCTAACACTGTAAAGGATACTGGCCAAAAACATTCAGATTTTTTGACAAATGTTAAGGCCTAGGCCCCTGCACATGTACGGCATGGTTAGGTATCCATGATGGTCCGCGACCTGCGAACTACGCTGTGATGTTAGGGTTAGCTAAAGTTAATTAAGGATTACTTAAAATTTCAAAGCATACAATTCTAGGAGAATGCTAGGATAAGCAAATAAACAATATTTTTAACAATCCTATTGCCTTTCCTAGCCACTTATTTCTTACGTTAAAAGTGGGTGGTTGTTTTCGACACCACAACATTATCTTTTCCTATGCTATTGCACTGTAATGTTTTATTATGTATACCCAAGTTATCTCACGTGACCGTCTGTAAACAAACATCGCCGAATCCCTCTATGGTATGGTTTAAGTTTTAAGTTTACAATTTGTAAGTTTTATGTACAAGTTTATACCATTATACCATGTAAGGTATAAGAAAATGTACAGTATTTGCAAGGTATAAGTTATTGTAATGTGCAGGCATGGAGTCAATTGCAGTGAAAATGTAATCAATTACGAAATGCAGTTCTTTTCTTCCAGTTACAATTATAATTACTTTTTCCCCATTACAATTACGATTTGATTTTTTCAATTTAAATTGCAATGACAATTACATTTCCATTTTGAAGTTTGACCAAAATCACATATAATAAAAATTATATATTCATTTCTACAATGATACTGTTACATCAAACAGATTTTGGGACTGCTGGTTTACTGGGTAGCTCAGACACAAGGAGACCCTTAGGGGAGAAGAAAGTACTGTGTGAGCTAGTCCTCACCCTTTGAGTGCTTTAAGACTTCAGTATGAAGCACAATATAAATCAAACCACATTACACTACATTATTAAAAAATGTAATGATTACAATTGATTACAAATTATGATTACTCCATGCCTGGTACTATGCTAAGTTTACAATTGCTATCTACTGTTTATGCAGCTATCATCAACATAATCTTTATTATCATTGTCATCGTCAGCATCATCATTGTTATCATAATCATAACTATTATAATCATCATCATTTCATTTCATATTTTCAACAGGGTGGCCCATTCATATAGTGCAGTTAACTGGTCTCCAATGGGTGGTCTTCCAGGGTGAAGGGGTGGGGTGCCAATAGGTATATCTGGAGATGCCATGTGTTGCAAAACCAATGTGAGTGACAATGACACTTTTATCTTCAGTTTGAGGTTCACCATTATTTTACTCTCCTTTTATATATGTAACAGCAGATGAGATCTACAGTTATACAAAAACTTCAGTTTCAAAACATAATACAGTATATATATTTTAATTTCATAGAAATATAGAATATATCATAATTTTAAAATTTATGCCATAGTTAAGCTAAGATTTTCTTAGAATATATATATTTTTTTTTTTTCATGTGGTATGTGGGCTTTTTAGAATTTGAGTGGTTGTATTATGTGATCCATGATTTAATGTGTGTTGTTACATGATTTGATTGGTATTTTCTTTTTTCTTTTTCTTTGTTTGCTGCAGTGAAACAAAACAAGTTTCTATGACAAAGTATTGATATTTTATATACCCCATTCATAGATTCTATGAGACCAAAGAAAGTAATGAAAATAGTACACACCAAGTAGGCTTAGGCTTATTTACAGGCCTAGGCGATGAAAGGGCCAATCTCTCTCTGCGTTGTGGAGTTCGCATCTCCTTTATCATTTGTTCCTGTTATAAATTACATAGCAACATGGCCTAGAGATTGCACATCGCACAACAGGGCGATTTGTATATCTTAGTTTATAATTAGGCCTGATGTTACCATCAATGTTGATGAGAGGCAGCCACACAATATTTATTTAATTTGTAAGCCATGAAATACTCGCACCTGGGGCTGAAACATAGCGTGAGCCACTTCAAAACTTGTCGACAGTGCAAGCTGGAGTAACTAAGCATAGCCGGCTGAGAATGGTCAGCGTGTGGTTCGAACCCTTGACAACTAGTTTCACAACCTGAATGGAAATCGCTGCACCATACCACCTCCCTAATCTTTTAGGTTAATAGTACTTTCTATTGCTCGCTTCTTAACCAATCGGATGCCTAGAATCTATGTATGAGGTAATATAATGTATATATCCTGTATTTAAAACAAATATTTTTTTTAATGTACTGTATCTGTAGCTTTATTCTTTAGAGAAAAATGAGAACTATTATTTATATACTACATAATTACGTTGTATGTCATTGTCAATATTTATTCGGCAGTGGCTATAAAGTTACACCAGTTTTAAACCAATTTTTAAAGCCGATTGGATGTTATTTGTATGTATGGAGTAGCTTAGGTCAGCAACATCCAATCCAGTTTAAGATGGGTGTAACAATAGCCACTGCCTATCTATAAATTGATACAAGCAATTGGGAATACTTTGATGTATAACTATTACACAATAGATATATTAGCAAAGTATTGTCCTATTTGAGCAGAAATGTTAGCTCTGCATGACGGGTTAATCTGTGCCCGCAAATAATATACATAGAATTTTCAGTAAATACAGAGTCATATTAGTTAACATTTAAATATATATAATGTTAGAAAGGTGCTAACTGTAAACCTTCTTTTCTTTTTTTTTTACATTAGTAATTTTTAAAAAAGTAACTGCTGTGTTCACATTTGGGAGGTGGTGAGCAGTCCCAATCTTTTCTAAAAACATGCAAATTATTGTATAAATGATGCTAAATAACGATTCGTCAACATTTTCACATGTAATATGTCACGCAAGAGACGAAGGCTTGCATTGAGTGACTCGATCCTTTATGTGCAAGAGAAGTTCCATGCCAGATGCAAGCTCATGACATGATGTGTAGTTCACATTAACAAATATTTAAATGTAATGTTTCAAGAGTCAGTTATTGCGATGTTTTAATGTTGCTTTGATTATGATTTACAAGTTCATGAATTTTCAATATAATGTAATGTTGGCTGAAGTTCATATTTTTCAAAAAAAAGAAAAGGAAAAAAAAAGATATAAAGCAATATGTTGAATTGAAATTAAGGAACTGATAATCTTAAGAATTGTAGACATGTAGCTTGTTATAAAATCAAATAAGTTTTTAATGTGTAACATCAAATGGTAAATAGATAAACAAAATTGCTGATTTATTTATGCCGGTACAGAATTTTGTACTTTAAAAATCCTGTCATTACAGCTATAGCCAAGTGTGTGAATTTTAATGTCTTTATAATCAGTGGCATATATAGGGTGGGGGATGCACGGGGTGGGGGGAACCTCCCAAGAAATTACTCCCTTCCCCCGTCGAGCCCCCCCCCAAACACGGTCAAGTAGTTAAAAATCCCATAAAATCACCTTATTTTGGAAATTAGCGCCCCTCAACTGGTCATCAACCCCTCCCACTTCACCTTAGCGCACCCCTCCCCCATCAGCACCTCCATTTCTAGACTCCTATATACGCCACTATTTATAATATGTTCATTATCTCAACTTGACAGTATATTTTTAATGAAAACATTGTATAATGTAACTACTATATCAATGGGAGTATTTATAGTGTCGTCATTTGGATCATTTAAAGAAATACTATAAAGTTCATTAAAAAAAATAAAGAATACGATTCAATATACCATATTATATTAGTCTTCTTTTTTTTTTCTTAAAGTGCTAAAACAAATACTGTACCGTATTTATTCAAATAAACAAATAAATACATCTCGAATGAACGCCTACTCTAGAGCCTCATTTTTTTTCTCCTTCAAATCGAATAAGGCCCGATGGAAAGCAGTGTCATAAAGAGGGAATTGGGTCACTCGAAGAAAACGTTTGTTCCCCAACAGGTGTTTTCTTGCACTGAAAACTCGGTGAACAAAAACTTTCACACTAAAATTTCATTATTCAAAAAAAAAAAAAAAAAAAAGCATCTAATCAATCTATCTTCAACTGGTGCTCAACCAACCGTGACCAGGCAGCAGCCATGTGGATGACAAAGGTTGAGGAGTGAACTACATCATCATACATTATTATGGTTGGTAGGGCTAGCTAGGTCTAGATATTTCTTAGTCTGCAGAGAACTAAATATATTACAATTTATGAAGCAGGTGTAATAATATTTGTTGGTCTTTTGATTGTTAATTAGCCGCTGCTCTTCCTTAGGATTAACCAAGATATACAATATTGTTTTAGGCCTAGGTAGGCCTTGCTGCCAACCTACCGAGACGGGCCCTCCTTTGCTCTCTAGGCGTAGCCAATGGGTTATTATGGAAGGGGCTTAGTGATAGTAGGTGTCCGGCCCAGCCAGGCCTATTTTTTACACGATCAGAATGAAAGTCTAGGCCTAGGCCTTCTCTAGGCAGGCCTGCCTAGGTTACTAGACAGTGGTGTGTCAATCTATTACTACTGTGCATATTGTTCCAACAATTTTTTTACACAAATCTGAGTTGAGGTATCATTTGATTTGTGGAGCTTTAATATCAAAACTTTTTTTAATTGTGTTGTGGCCAAAACCCTACCCAACAAGTTTCATAAACAGTGATGGCGCCACGATTTGCACAACGCGAGGGGGATATTGATGATGGGTTTCAACAGTGGCGTTAACAATTTTTCGCCAGGTTTAGGAGGAGCGAAGTAGTAGAGGGCCCACAAATCCCTGGCGCCAAGAAAAATGCAATCATCATGGTTAATATTGCAGCTGTATAGAGGCAGTTGTTGCTACAGATATTTGGTTGACTACAAAACAGAGATATACCATGAAAAAAATAGATCCAAGAACTATTGTATTGTCCAACATCCACGACAATAAGGAATTTTTTAAAGATTTTTTGAAATTTTTGTGAAACCCAAGTAGCAGCGACATATTTTTATTATGTTAATTGTGACAGAGACAAGCCAAACCAGTAACTCGTTGCAAATCATGTTACAGATAATACTAATAGCCAAGACATGCTGAAATGTCAACATTTTTGAAATCTATTTTATTGCACTAAACTAACATTTATATCTATACATCACGATATGCTGTTATTTTCCCCATTTTAAATGTTAAAAAACAACTTTTAACGATTCAGTGATGGTTTCTGCCTGAGAAATGCCCGAAATCATTAACTTTGAAGGCCGATTTCTCAAACATTCTTCTTTAAACAGCTGTATGCTTAAATGCTTGTAACTTCATAAGGAATGTCAAATTTAAATTACTCTTTTACTGTTTTATAGCTTTCATTTTTAAATTTGCATAATAACTAAAAATCAATTTTTGCAAAGAGTGACTGGTTTGGCTTGTCTTTGCCACAATTATAGTATTGATAATTTCCAATCACTCGCCAGATTATCAAATGCTTAAATACGATTAATCAGCATATAGAACATCAGATTGTGTAATATTATTGTTTAAATCCATAGTGAAATATAATTATAATTTTTCTACCTTTAGGTAGTCAAAGGCTTGAATTACCTTGAAGTATCAAATGATGGTACTGACGTAGTCTTCCTCATTGTATCCAGAAGATCCTTGAAGCACAAACAACAAGATGAAGCGTTCTATTGATGAGATATCCAGCAAAAATAAACCTGTTACCAACGATTTGAAATCACAACACAATTTTAAGCAATTAGACACTAGTACGTCAGGAGGTAGTAAAAACCGGGAACTTGAAAGTAGATCTGAACCATCAAATGAAAGTAATCCTGGGAAAAGTGAATGTGCCGAAAATATGTTATCGTCAGATATTCTTCAAATCCAACCAATTTCTAGATTTAATGGGAAATTCCCTTTTTTCCGTCAGCCAATGGAAGTTGGTTGTTTTTCCTTGGATAGAGACCGTAAGCTGTACTTGGATACACGTATGCTGAAGTATCTATATGATACAAGGGAAATAAGTGTCCGGTTTGATTTGCAACATGGATTTGATGTTTTTGAGAAGCGTGACGACGATGTAAAAGAAAGACTGAATAACTTAATGCAATGGATTCTGGGAATGAAGAAGCATTTTCAGTTGGATCCCAAGGAAGTAGATGAAAATGGATCTCCTAAGCTGCGAAGGTATTTATAAAGTTTTTAAGATTATGGGCACCCAAAAATAATTAAAATAGAAGAGAGTATAATGAAATGAACCAATTATATATCTGTATAATACTTAATTACCTACCTACCTACCTTGATTTTTTTAATAATAATTTGCCCTAATGTAGTTTATAGACTTATAAGTCAGTTAAAACATTGATGTCGTAATTCTGTTATTCCTTCTTTAATTTTAATGTTCAATTTTCTTTATTATAATGCTACAAAATTTATTGTTCGATTTGCCAAAATTATATAATTTGCTTGTTGGTAAAGATACTGTAGTTCTATTAACATTTATTATGATTATTTTTGAACGTTCAAACGTAAAACAAAGTTATATTTATAGATTTTTTATTGTTTTTTTTGTGTGTATTGTATTGTAATTGATAGTTCTTTATTGTTTCTTTTATTTTATTCTATTCTATAAGTGACGGGCTCCCCGCTGTTGGATGTGAACTGAAATAAAATAAAATTAAATTAAATTTCAATACAGAAACTCAAATGCTAATTTTTTAGGGCATTGCAATAAATTAGACAATTATATACTGTATGTATGCATCATAATCATTTAAAGTGTGCTATTTCCACACTTGAGGGTGATACGTTGAAGTCTGTATAGTTAAACTTGGGCTACACATCCAATCTATAACAAGATATAATTAATTACAAGCATCACGTTGCAAGATTTAAGATGGAAGGAAATGACAATTTACATTGATTTTTCTACTTTTTGTTTTCAAAAGTTTGAATACAGATTTTATTGCTTGGAGAGGACATATAACCAAAATATTATGTACACCGTATGAGCAACGAGAGGGCTGGATGATGGCTGTTACACTTTTTCACGGCACATATTATATCAGCGAGGTTGAAACGAAAGAGAATGAAGCACGGAGGAAGAACATGTCAGATAGGGAGAAAGAAATGACGTACTGGGGGTACAAGTTTGAGCAGTATATGACAAGTGGTATGCAATGTACTTTTTGTACTCTACTTTTTAGATGATGATGATTAAATCTTCACAGCAAGGGCGGAGGTGGGCAGGGCCACCTAGCCTTTGAAGTTTTCCACCCAGTCTAAAGCTAATATCATGACCCTCCACCCACACTTATCAACCCACTTTTCCATCCGTATAATCCACTCTTTAGATTTTCATTATTTAGAGTTTACCAATGTTACCACCCACCCACACTTACAATGTCTATCACCCTCCCTTAGTTTTCTATTACAACCCTGTCACAATACAGTATTATGAATTAGAAGCTTTAGCAGTGCCATTTGGAAGAAGTCACTTTTGGGAGATCTGGTTAACTGAGCTATTAATGCACTTAATTCTATGTTTTTGCTGAACATAGTGGTACTCATCACCACTTACATCTGTGAGACAATTGATAATAAAACAGTGATAACATGCAAATATTAATTTGCGAGAGGTTGGTTATTTTCCTAGAGATTCTTTGCTAGCTTCCAGGAGTGCTGGAGGCTGTCCCAATTTTCCGGAATACTCTTGTGTGTTTTAGGAAATGCGAGACTCGTGCTTAGTGCCCTCTTTATTTCATTCCTTTCTAAGGCTTTCGAATATTCATGATTAGGTAAATTCTAGGATTATAATATATTGTACTGAACAATCATCACTTTTCTAAGGCATTAGCTATTAACCTTAATTCTTCCATGTGGGACCATGCGTCACAAGGTTTGGGGGAAAATATCATTCCTATTGAATTTTTTTGGACACAATTTTTTTTTTTTTTTGAAAAAGCACAATGCTATATATTATGCATTAATAATTTTAACAAATTAAATTAAAAAAATATTAAACAATTTTTGTAAATCATTATCATCATGAATACTTGGTACCTTCCAACGTGGCACATTTTACAGAATTTATTCAAGAATTCGTAATTTTTGGCTAAATTTTGAATAGAGCAAATGGAAATGTATAGACAAACATAATATGGTTTAATTAAATTTAAAAAATATTAAACAATTTTTTGTAAATCATTATCATCATGAATACTTGGTACCTTCCAACGTGGCACATTTTACAGAATTTATTCAAGAATTCGTAATTTTTGGCTAAATTTTGAATAGAGCAAATGGAAATGTATAGACAAACATAATATGATTTTTGTTCATACAATTTAATATTTATAAGTAATCCTTCAAGTAACTTAATAATTAAATGGCGGACACCGATACCACATTTAAGAACCGTTTTCTCTTTACAGTGGATGGTCGGCAAGAACCAAACACTAATGTTCCAGTAAACAACTCTGAGGCTTATTGTAGTGTTATCCGCACTCGTTTGAATAAACATTCGTTGATATACAGTGGAGAGGTCGACTGCTGTGTCAATGACCCTAACCTGCGACCTCCAGCAAATTACATCGAATTAAAAACAAACAGAATTCTCTATGCACCAAACAATAAAAGGAACTTTCATAGGTAAGAATAATTTGAGTTTTTTGCATTTATTTTGTTAGTGACATTGGCTGTGTTCACACACACCATCAAACGGTTAGCATTATCTAGATAAACACTTGCGTTCATACAAGAAAATCCTTGATCCGGATATGAAGAAGGTGATGGTGGGATCACTGGCCGATAGGAAACCGAAATTTGAAAATTGTACATCTGATTGGTTAATGATAGAAACACGCTGAACTTGCTAACCGATAGCGCTCGCTAACCATTAGCGTATCCACTTTCTGGTTAGGCACTTCATGGTTAGGGCTAACCAATTGAGTGTCCTGACACGTGTGCTAACGGTTAGGGCTAACGGTTAGCTCCCGATGTAGATACTAAGGTTCTAGTGTGAACCTAACCATATACATTACAATACCATTGACCTTATTACTCCATATATCATATCAGCTTGTGATTAGGGATTTTTGTCCTTGCTGTTGAATGTAACACTTGGTCATGATTTGTACGGTCTATCTTCAAGGGACAATTCAAGACTGCAGCTGGCCCAAAATGCTGCTTTTCACTCTCACAAAGGAACTGGACCACATCACACCACTACTTAAAGAACCACATTGGCTTCCCATCTGGCATAGGATCATTTACAAAATTCTACTGTTTACCTACAATCATTAAATAGCATGGCTTCTGTATACATATCTGAACTCGTCTGCCCATACAGTACACACAAACATGTCACCTTGGCTCAACCGATCAAAATCTTCTCCAAATTCATTCATCATGACCCCTACTAGCGCCGCCCCTGTCATTGTTGTTAAATAATTATCGGTGTAGTCTTCAGCTGATGTAAACATGGTCATCGCTGACACCTTGGTTGTCCTCATTATTATTATAGGGACTAAACCAAACCTGTTTTTTATTTTTATCACAGGTATAAACTATTAAAATGGTGGGCACAATCTTTTCTAATTGGTATTCCAACGGTTATTGGTGGTTTTCGTGATGATGAGGGCAACGTGCTTCAGTTGGAGAGATTCAGCACATTCAGAATGCCTGAGATTGCTAGACAGGTAAAACAAATGTATTAAAAAAAAAAAAATAGTGATTGTCAGTCAACAAACTAAGATAGACTATTGCAGATTCAGTACTAGTAAGACAGACTTACTATCTTATACGTTATGATACAATATATTTTATTACATCCAAAAGGAAATTTATTGGTACTGTACATAATGTAAAGTAAGGCTCTCTCAACAAAATCAAAGAAACATAACCAAACTACTCATTCTGGGGTAGGGGCGTCACTCCACTAAAGTCCTGATGACCTGCATACCACAACCCTAACTATGCATTCTGGGGTAGGGACGTTACTACACTAATGTCCTAAGGACCCACATACGCTGAAAGTATGGATCTGGCCCACTGATCTCTACTATAATAGCTAGATTGCTCATAGGTTTTTCAATAATAAATTTAAGTTTAACGTAGGAATTTTTTTCAAACCATCTAACCACTAGACGTGACTGTTTATGCAGTTTTCAAAAGCGCGAGCGAAGTCGTGTTGTGATAGTGACGTCGATCCCTAACAATACAAATAACTTCACTTGCGCTTTCTTAAACTGCATAAAAAGTCACATCAATTAGATAGATGATAATAATCATTACTATAAATTCAAATTTATTATTAAAAAGTTTTGCAAGAATCGTTATTTTTAACAATAATTTAAACAAATGCCAAAAGAAACTTGTCTAAAATGATGCGTCACTTAGGCCTCCCAACATGGCGTCGGTGGCCTCACTAAAACCAGCCAATGAGCAATCCAGCTATTATAGTAGAGATCAGTGATCTGGCCCTGTGCACACAGTAAAATTTTCATTGAGAAAAAAACGCCATGCCATGACCATATAATTATTTAGGCATTTCGCCTTTTTTAATAGTCAGTTCAGGGCTTAAAGTTGACTTATGTTCATTTAGGAGAGGAGTTGGAGTGCCTCGGTGTGTGTGAATTTCTGCGATTATTTTTTGAACTATGTGAAATCCCAAGTAACAAGGGATGACCCAAGGTGAGTTTAATTAAATTTTATTTGTCGTAATAATAATATTTTGATTGATTTTTTTTTGTATTTTTTTTTTCTCATCATTCCAAACTTTTTGGGGCCTGTGGTGTGCTACGTATAAATTCAAAATTATACTGTTTGGTTTCTTCGTAGGGTGGTTTACTTGTTTGAACGCAAGCCTGGTAGCGACGAGATAACTTACACCATTGAAGAAGACCCAGTGCATCACTTTATGCCAGAGTGGTACATCAAATGCTTTACACAGTAACGTAATGTAAGGAGGTAATTTACTATATTGAGGAAGAACCTGTTCATAAGTTTATCCCAGATTGGTAATTTAAATGCTTCACACAGTAACATAAGCTTGGGAGTAATGGCCCTGTCACATCATGACGATTTAGTCAGCGTATACCGACGTATCAAAAATTTCTCTAAAATGCTGGCATACGCTGTTTTTTTTTAAAATTTTGGGTGCATACTGTATATAGCGTATTTATTACGCTATATATGCCATAACAGTTTATTCACTAGTAATACACTAAACTTGTATACTTGATAGTGAAAAAGATAACTTTGCATCTCATATACATTATTTAATAGTGCATCACAACATGGTGTTGATCAATTTCACTTTCCATAGTTCATACAAACCTGGAAGTGAGGAGATAAATGTGTATTCCATGTAAGATTGGGATTCAGCCTTATAACCAGTGTTGGGCTCCAGAAACCAGCTGACAGGGATCTAAACAAGTTCCATAGGGATCTGAACCAAGGGCCACTTTTCTCAAATTTAAACAAATATTTCTAGTCATCGAATCACAAATGAACGATATATTTGTATAGAGTACTACAGTGTTACGTCACGATACCGCGTGATACTACTCTGTTGCTATTGGCGACACAAAATGCGTTCAACAGACACCATTTTCTCCACTGACAAACCATTGATCCTAATTTCTAACGTAATTATTAAGAAGTTGTATCTTAATTTTTATTTGTAAATGTTAATTGATGATTAAATGTGTGTTCGATAACTAAAGTAATGCGAGCTTTTTGTGTTTTAGTACATTTTGATGGTAAATTATTAGGTTTTAAAATGCCTGTTCCAGAAAGCCAATTCTAAACCATTAAGATTATAAAGTCATTCAGGCATAATTGACGATAACCAACGTCCAGAGGTCGCCACCTAGTGTTGTGACGACACGACTGTGGTACTCTATGCATATAAAGGATGCTTTATATTTATATATTTGGAATTTTTTACAAACCTAATTTTGAGAATAAGCTAATTAACTGCGATAATGCAATAAAAAGTTAGGCCAAGTGTGCAATGTTTAAAAATACAGTAATACAAATGGTATATAAGGGCGGGGCAGTATTTTCCATTTTTTGTTTAAAAAACAATTTTGGAGAATGAATACTTTTGGAGGTGGTTTTTAAAATGTTGTCATATTAATCATTAAACATATCAGCTCAATATCCGCTATAATTTAGATATCAGCTATCATTCCCAGAGGGTTCCTCCCACTTCTCACTCTTTGGACATGTCAGCTGACCTGACTATTGCCACTCCATTGGTGGATTTGAATCATCCCTGATGATGCCATGTACCATCACAAGACACCAAAAATACTGTCATTGGTTATAAAAGTATTATCTTTTACGTAGGACTGGCGAAGTCTCTTACCCGTATCAGTTTATGGCAATCTTTTGTGTTTTTTAAAATTATTCCATAGAAAGAGTATCCTATGACACAATTGAAGCTAAGACTTAAGGCCATTTAGATAAGACCTCAGAAATCTGCCAATATTCTTATAGATGAACACCGGACTTAGAAACAATGTATAAAATTTGTACAAGAGCTTTGTCCATTATGTGATAACTGTGATATGCCCATATTTGGGTGTAATGTGTCATCATCATGCCCATATATGGACAGTCACACAAATTTGTCACAAAAATTGGTAGAGTGAACAGAGCTTTACTCGGGTTTTGTAACAGAGATGATATTCATCTTATGGTTTTAGCGAGCTTCGTGTATTTAATTTAGATTTCTTCTTGTATAGAATGAAAATTGAGACAGATAACATCGGATAATGTCCTTGTTTATATTTTTACCTAGCTTAAGCTATGTCCATACTATCAAATTTATGCAACAAATTTTTGTGAATGTCCCTTATATGGGCATGATGATGACATATTACACCCAAATATGGGCAAAACAAAGTTATTTGTCACATGAAATTTGACAGTGTGCACAGATATTTAGTGTTTGTAGAATCTTGGATTGAATGAAAAATATGGGATAAATAATCTCAACCAATCATTTTAATAATTGTGAATAAAATTATAAATCTTAAAAGTTCTTGTGTCATGTAAGTTTGTTTTGTGAAATTTGACTAAAGGCATAGACAAATTTTCAAACCATGTATAATTAATATTGTACTTGTTTTGCTAGGTATGTTTTCATAGTGAGGTGCTGCATTTTATTGGGTATGTTTTCATGGTAGTAAAATGATGTTATTACCAGCTTGGTAGCCTGGTTTGGCAGTTCAACTATCTTAGGCACAGATAATTCTAGTATAATTCAAAACATGTTTTTTTGTTCACAGGGAAAACAGGATTATGTAGGTCTCATGTCTCTTGAAACGGTGGCTCCAACCTCCGTAGCCAGGATTTTGGTAGGGGGGTTCTTTTTGATACTGAAAGGGCACTTGCGAGCACCATTGGCTGGGGCCAGGGGGGGCTGCCAAGGGCCCCGGGGGGTCCAGGGCCAAAACCCCGGTGGGGGTCCAGCATCCTAAAGCATTTACAGGTGTTATTTAATTGATTTGAGAGGCCATACATTAAAAAAAAAGTATATATTAAAGAGGTAATTTTTTGAGTTGGGAAAATTAAAAAAAAACAAAAAAGAAAAATACTACTTTAGTACTACAGTATTGGTAATTTAACAATCCAGTATGGTTTATTCTTTATTTTTTATTTATATAGCACTTTGGAAGTTGTATCATAATATACACTTAAGACAATCAATAACAAAAAGAACTGAGACAAATTTGTATGGTTGGTTGTAGCGTATTATTATCATATATACAGTATATATATATATATACACAGGTGAAACTATCCTCCGCCGGACACCATCCCGGTATTTCTGAGTCAAGGTTTCGGGGCCTAATTTTTTGTTACTAGGTAGGCCTAACAATCAGGTATTAAAATAATGATGATAAGGCTCCAGGCTAGGCCTAAAGTGTAGGCTAGCCAGCCTTTGTTGGAAGGGCACTTCATGAAAAGGGGGTTCATTCGAATGCAATGAACCCCCTGGCTACGGGCTTGCAAAGGCCGGGTTTGGGTGTACCCTGTCCCCCTCCATTGAACAATTATTGAACAATGCTCAAAAACACCATCATTCTAGTTAGCTCGACTTCTCACTTTCCCATCACAGCACATTTCGCCAGTGTCAATACACCTAGAAATACCACAGCTGGTCAAGTATAAACAAATGCACAGGAAAACCGCAACCTCTACGATGCATCAAGGATATCAATGGCGCTAACGACTGCAAGCATCTACAGAAGGACATTGATGCCTTATTCAAATGGAGCAAAACCTGGGATCTTTGCTTTCACCAAATGTCAAATTATCACCATTACACGGAAACGTAATCCCATTATATACAATTACAATATGAATGGTGCACTGCTCTGTAGAACTACAGTTGAACGTGCCTAAGTCGAATCCAAAATGCCATTCAGATATTGTTCAACTTAGGTAAAATTCAACTTACAGATTGTTAAGTAATGGAAAACACCAACAATTTGGCATGTAAAATTAGATCGACTTAGAAATTATTCGACTTGTAGTATCAAAGGTCTTGGTGTTGAGATCAATAGTGTTTTAAAATGGGACAATCATGTATCAAATATTGTTTCCAAATGTAATCGCAAACTGGGAATGGTCAAGCGTGCAGTGGGATATGCAGCTTTATTCAATATCACTAGAACGCCTTACACCGCCTTAATTCGTTCTGATTTAGAATGTGCTAGCCCTTTAACGAGTGGCACCTCCAAACGCAACTTGCAACGTTTGGAGGGAGTCCAACGAAAAGCAACAAAATTTATATTGCATTACCCAGATTGCAATTACAATGAAAGACTTTTGTTACTTAATCTTATGCCCTTATCATACAGAAGAGAATACTTAGATCTAACCTTTTTTTACTTTATTTGATTCAGTGAAATGACTTATCAGGTCACAAGGTCAACTGACAATGATTTAATTATTGAAAATGCAACACTGAGTCTCACAAACTATTTTAACCGCATTGTACCCATGTGGAATACCCTGCCTCTTACCTTTAGAAACAGCCCAACCATGCACACTTTTAAGCAAAGTATTAAATTATTTTATCACGATTTCTTTTTAAACAAGTTTAATGTAAATTCTCTAATGTTTGCAGCTGGCTGTCATGCTGTCCCTGCACCAAATGTCGCCCAATTTAAATTTCTGACCGCAATGTGCAATTCCTCAAAGTTTCTCTTTCAGATTGTTTTATTATTTAATTTGTTTTATGCCTCGAGTTACTTTTACTAATTTTAGTGTTACATTTCAAAATTTTATATACCCGATTTTATATTGGTCTGTGCAATTCGCTATCAGAGGTGTGATTTGTTCACCTGTTGGCCTTTTCCTGTCACCGGAAATCTTTTATTTCATTGATATTTTATTGTGTTTTTGCCTGCGTGAAGTCGAATAAATAAATAAAATAAATAAAAGATGAAAGGGAGCACCTCCGTACCAAATGCTCTAATTTGAATAATTTACTGTAGTGAAAGCAAACATGACACTGTTTTACTGTAAGATATGAGCTTTTAATATTCAAAGCTGTTCACAGATAATATACAAAAAAAAAAGTTTATAAATAGTATTCTACAATATTTCATAGGATTTATTTTTAATTGATAGGAAAGTTTCTTGTTGGAAGAGGCCATACCAATTCTAAAACAAGGAAAGACAAAACAAAAATAGTTAATAAAATTACAGTATAGTTATAGTTAATACAAACTTACAGTATAAAGATTGATGAAAGTTAAGGTTGTCTCAAAATTACTATCTTGTTATTATTAAGGGTAACCTTAATTCTAAACTATTAATATGATTAAAATCCGAGGACGAAAACATGGAATGGATATGTAATACGATCTGGTGACCTAATAACAACAGTTATTGAAAAAGGGTTTATGGAAAAGCCACAAAGAGGAAGAAAGCAAATTTAGTTTATACTTATTAAAAGAAAACTATATAAATATATTTATAAATATATTTATATAGATGTCTCAGGTTTACACTGATATTTTTTAAAATAAAAATGCAAAATTTTAAAGGACATCCATACTAATAAATCATTTTAATCTTTATATTATTTTCATTCTCATCTAACAACAAAGACATGGTCACACAATTGTATGATGACCTATAAACCAAGTTTGTTTTTATTCAATCTTAGACTGCGAGTTACTAGTTAGGATTTTATCCCAGAACTCTGGGATTGGAAATTTGGCATCTTAACCACCAACCCACAAATTTATTTACGTAGACAATTAATGATAAAAATGGTCCTACCATTGTCCAAGACAATATCAAATGGTCGGTCATACTTTTCCAGATAACTTTGCGGTGACAAGAGGTCATCTGACCGAAGTAAGAAACCAATCAGATCTGCAGCAATTTGAATGAATGACAACACTTTTAAAGTCAATAAATAAAATAAATACGGATCAATTATAATGTGAGGCTTTAAGTCAAATAATACAATAAAAAGGAACAGCATCAGACAAAATTTTATGATGATGAGGAGCGCTAGGAATACCTGGCTGATTGATGATCTTTTTTGCTGATTGATTAATAGATCTTTTGTGTATGGGCAGCCATTAGGGCCAATATACTCTAATGCCTCTATTATACTGCCCTCATCAGAGCTTTTAAGATTACAAGACCTTGTTTTAGTGACAAAAGCTGTTATTTTTTTTCTTCAAAATACTAATTTTTTTCACTTTATAAAAATTTGTTAAAACATATCCAAGTGCCTGGAATAGTAAATTACTTCCCTTACCTTGTGGAATGAGTAAATCGGGAACCTTCTCATGTAGCGAGTCCATGATATTTCGTTGTGTTATCTGACAAGAATAATTTATCAAAATTTTCTATTATTTTTTCTTTGTATTCAAAATATGCATCTGATTTTACAGTTTTAATTTTAGTTTTAGTTTTTTTTATTTTAATGTTTTATGTTTGTGTTTATATATATATAGATGTGTATAAGAGACAGAGGTAGGCCTAACAATCAGGTATTAAAATAGCACTTTTAATGATGATAGGCTCTAGGCTAGGCCTAAAGTGTAGGCTAGCCAGCCTTTGTTGAAAGGGCACTTCATGAAAGTAAATAAATTTGATCACCCACTACAATAAAACCACCACCCTCATCATCACTACAATTATCAGGATTGTTTCAAATATAGTAATTATCCTAATCATAACATTTGTTTGTTAGATATGATGAGTTTCCTTAGGTGTGATATTTGTACAGTACATACTGTATTACTTAACTGTATCATTGTATGAATGGACTTTAAAATGTTTATTATTGTGAATTAAAAATTAAATATTATTTCATTGATCATACACTGTATTGTCAGATTACCGATAAATATATTTTTTTCATAAAAAAGAATCTTACAAACCTTTGGTTGCTTTGCAAGGTACGCTCCAAGTTTTAACATCAAAGTCAAGCATTCAGGCACCTAAAAACAAAAGAGAGATTTTCCAAAAAAGATGCTCAGTTGATACTGTGGAGGAATGGTTCAGCCCATAGGGAGCTTTTGATTTGCACATCGACATGACGCCAGAACGGATTCACTCATTTGTGACAATCATATGTTCTCTGCACAACAAAGATTCAGGCCAAATTGCGTTCTAGAATCCATGTGACAATGAGAACTTAAGGTTCTCGCATGCGCAGATGACTTCTTTACTGACGTGATTACATTTCACGTCCTACAGTCATCTTGCAATCGAAAGTTCCCTATCAATTGTGCACTGAACAATGGACACCATTTGACCCCTGACTCTGGGTCAATTAAATAATTGATTATCAATAGTCACTTGACAAAATCATAACAAGCCATACATACCAGTTTCTCAATAGGTTCACTTGTTTCATATTCCTCCAATCGTGATGCAGGCAAGTTGAGCACTCGGAAGCTCCACTGCTGGAAGAGCCTGCTGGGTACATTGCTAGATATCACAAGGATCTTACTGTGGCTGATGGGACTGTTCTCTGTCTCTGTCATCTGCTTCAGATCTCTGATGATGGCAGTGATCTCATCACTGCATGTCTCCACGAGATGTACAAAGTAGTTTGGATAAGCTAAGAGCAAGCCTGTAGCACTTTCTCCTTGGTGATGGTTCTGCCAGTTCTTTAACTGTTTTTCATAGTGGGCTGTGAAACAATAATTTAAAAAAATGATTAATGTGCTTATTCAAACGGGGCACTTGAGAAAATGTTTATGTTAGGAGGGGCACTTCTTTAAACGGGGCGTTTATTCATGCGAGTACAGTATCTGGATAAGAAAACATGATAATATCTATGAACAGAGCAGAAAGGTGCATACAAACAATCTATCTAGTATTTACAACCAACTACATCAGGAAACCACTACTACTACTACTACTACTACTAGAAAACCAGTCATTGTCTGATAAAGATCCGTTGATAATAGATTGAAATATCACAAACAGAACACATTATGGCTTGCAAGAATTTTGTCTACAGTATGTTCATAATGTTCATAGACACTTTTCATTGCCAGTATATTGTAAAATATAATTGTGATTGAGATACCTACCACCAAGATCATTCTTGTCATTTAGATTCTCTGAAAGCTGTGCAACATAAACCAAGCGATGCAATAGTGACTTCTGAAGAGAAATAATTATAAATGTATATAAGTTAAGAGATGATCAGACTGGTACCTGGCCCAGACGTAGGGTCCTTTATTATGCCTAGGCCTTGACTAGTATATTATTAGTAGGATAATAGTAGTACTACTCAGAGGCCTATTAGTAATATACTTGAGCAAATATGCATACGTGTGCTTAAAAACTATTTTTTTTGCACATTTTGAGGGGCGCTTATTCAAACAGGGTGCTTATTATTCAAACAAGACGATTATAAAAATTGAGTGGAAATTGAGGGGCACTTATTAAATTAAATTAATTAATTAAAATTAATTAAATTAATTAATTAAAATGCAAATTTAAAACATTCAATCAAAAGAACAAAAAAATGTTTGTACAGTACTCTTTTCTAATTATTCCTGTTGCAGTGTTATTGGTATTATTGAAAAGATTACACAGAATTATGAAAATAATTTAAAAAATAATAATATCGGCATTATTTTATGTATTTTTAAAATCATGAAACATTTAAAACCCACTAATTCATATTAGGCTGTTGCTTTGACTATACATTTCCCCAGCACTGTATGCTATGTTCTGTACAGTACGGAGGAATGCTGTTTAAGAATTACTTTTTATTTACTTATTTTTTTCTCGGACAGAGTTTGAGGCAAACATCAATGAAATTTGTTAATTCCAACAATCTACCTTTTTTTCATATAATAAATATTAAAAAATCTGTATTTCATGAACCGCTTTTTTTATTAAGTTTTACATCAAAGAAGAAAATCTTCTGCATGTTATTCAGTCTTCCAAATGGTGCGAATCATGAATTTTGTACCTACTGAAAGTAGCTACAAAGTCATCGAAATGGTTTTCCGAGGTAAGGAACCGTGAATCCAATTTTAAGAAATTATTTGTTAAGAAATTAAATTTTTTTACATTTTAAGATTTTTAATTTTGTACAAATGAACATTCTCAATAATTATTTTTTTGTACAAATAAACATTCATAATTATTTAAAAATTTCTATCCAAAAAATACAAATACATTAACTTGCGCCAGGTACCGTATTTAAACGGGGAGGAACATGGGAACTGGTGAGCAGTGACTCTTATTATTATTATTACTTTTTTAGAAAAATCGTTCCTTAAGTTAGAAAGACATCAGAAATTTATTTTTTTGAAATACCTTTGGAAATTTGTATTTTATTTAATAAACAAAAAATGAAAAGTTTTCCTTTCACCACCCCAAAGCAGACTTCACCATCATCACAGAAACTTAAACAATAATAACCAACAATCAATAAGATTAGTCTCCTTTATTTGGTTGAAGTTAAAACAACATAAACAATTGGAATACATTAAGACATAGGGGCCTATAGTATACATAAACACAAAAACAACATTCAGTCATAGCTACATGTACCCTTCAGAGTACCTATTTTTTCTCAGTCATAAGCATGCGCAGTAAAGAACTTTGTCACTAATGCAGGTTAGGGAGTAACTTATTCGCGCAAGTACGGTACTACTAGGCCTAGCTAGCTAGAGTAGTAGTAGAGAGTAGTATAGTACTGTAGTAGTAGTAGGGCCTAGCTAGGCCTAACCGAATGAATGTGGCCTAGAATTATATTTTTACGCACTTATTCCAACAATAACATGAAGCGCCACTGATAATTTAAATGGATGGATTTAAATGGCGCTATATAAGTTCTTACTTTATTATTATTATTATTATTATTATTAGAACTAGGGCCTAGCCTAGTGCTGCACAGTGAATGTAATGTGCTGCGAATGAATATGTCCTGCTGGGGGGCCCTATAAAACAACCTTATTCAATGCCCTGTTCCTTTCTTCGATAACTTCTAAAAGATTAAGACGTGCACTTTCATACATAGAATCTGTTTTTGCGTCAGCCATTTTCAGACACAATCAAATGAAATAATATACAGCAAATATTCCTCATCAGCCGCCTGTTGACCTTGCTAAGCTAATGACAGTATCCAGGCAACGTTATCGTTCGTTATTAAACAGAGGTAGCAACTATAGAGGGCGCTACCTTGTATCCTTGAACAGAGCCATAGATAGAAAGAGTTGCGACATTGAGAATTTAGAAGCCATTTTGTTTCATACGCGATGCGCGTTCTGTGTCTAACATGATGTGCGTTCCTGTGTATAATATTGTATAATACATTTAGCGGCCTCCTGTATAGTTTAATTTCATTTATTCTTTTTAGCAGTCGAATTTCATGTAACTATTTATAGATTTTTTTTAATGATTTCACTACTTTATATCCAATTTCATATTATAAAATAATACTGTAATAATTTACTATTTTTAAGCAGTTCTTTAA